CAGATGCTGTACCAGCGTAAAGGTATTCCCCTGGAAATAGAAGGCGAGTGAAAATTAAATCCAATCAAGTTACAGAAGAATTCATTTCATCATGAAAATAGTTGAAGAATATCTGGCTGTGTTTTTTGGTCAATCTTGTTACAGTGACAACATACAAACATATCAATTAGGAGCAGGAGAAGGCTGTTTGAGTCAGCTGTCATTCAGGAAGATCAATGTGACCTGATTGTAACCTCAAATCCACCTTTCCACCTAGCCATGATAATCTTTCACCCTCATGCTTAACAGGAATCTATTTGTTTATGCCTTAGAAACATTCAAGAGTTCTGTTTTACTACATTGATCCCAGAGATAAAGGCTTTGTCTCATGAAGAGAGAGTGAGCAGGTTAGGCCAATACTATCTGGAGTTTAGAAAAATGAGAGGAGATCTAATTGATGGATATAAGATACTAAAGAGGATTGACAAAGTAGACGTGGAGAGGATGCTTCCTCATGTGGGACAATCTAGAATGAGAGGTCATAGTTTTAGGAGAATGGGCAGTAGATTTAAAACAGAGACGAGGCAAAATTACTTCTCTCAAAGGGTTATAAATCTGTGGAACTCGTACCCCACAGTGTGGTGGATCCTGGAATATTGAGGAAATAGATTTTTAATCAGTAGCAGGTTAAAGGGTTGTGGAGAGCGGGCAGGAAAGTAAAGGTCAGGCTGAGAATGAGATCAGCCATGATCCTATTGAATGGGGAAGCAGACTTGAGGGGCTGAATGGCCTACTCCTATTCCTGGTTTTTATGTTCCACGACCTTTTCAGGAAGGGAAATTCCAAAGCCCTCAATGCTCTGAGAGAAAACATTTCACATTGCTTCTGTAATCATAGAGTCCCTACAGTGTGGAAGCAGGCCATTCGGCCCAACAAGTCCACACCGCCCCTCCAAAGAGCATCCCACCCAGACCCATCGCCTATGTCTAACCCACCTGACCTAGAGCCCCTGGACAATTTCCCATGGCCAATCCACCTAGCCTGCACATCTTTGGACTGTGGGAGGAAACCAGAGTACCTAGAGGAAACCCACACAGACACGGGGAGAATGTGCAAACTCCACACAGACAGTCACCCGAGGGTGGAATCGAACCCAGGTTCCTGGCGCTGTGAGGCAGCAGTGCTAACCACTGAGCCAACGGGTGACTTCTGATATTTGAATTGTGGCTTCTCATTCTAGATTCTCCCATGAGAGGAAACTTCCCCTCTTGCCCTCCACATTTCACTCCCCCACCACCTTCCCCAACCCACACCACCCACCCCCCCACTCCCGCCCACTCCAGTCAGTACCCCTGTAGACATTCTAAAAATAAACAAAGAATGAAAATCAAAACACTGATTGCTGCTCTGCATAGGTTGGATAGATTTCACATTGAGTTTAACATTGGCCATCAACATTCCTTTACTCGGTGCTGTCTCGTACTTCACTGTCTGTTATCACTCTGCAATTTTGTCCAGTTCATTTTATAAATTGTATGCAGGCTCCTCTAATTCTACAGTCCCTGCTAGTTTGAGAATGTTAGCTGCAAATTGACAACTTGTCAAGGTGTATTTCAGCACGAGATCTGTGAGCTGCCACATTGTTCAAGCACCATGCAGGGCATGTCCCACTGGTGGAACGTGGAAGTCTGGGTGGGACATGAAAGGTTAACACACTTGCCAATGAAACACAACCACAGTCTTCTTGCGAATGACTAAATCATTATCTCATTTTGTTTTTGCAATTTAGCAGTAAAACCTACTCTCAGCAACATTATTACAATTTTAATGTCCTTAAACTATTCCATTTACGGATTATATAGTACAAAAATGCACATACATATAAAAGTACAGTCCTTGGAAAAAGTGTGTTTTATTTTTATCATGATAGGATTAGGGTTTATTTTGACAAAATAACTTTTTATTTATTCATTCACGAGATGAGGGCGTCACTGGCCCTATTTATTGCCCATAGGGCAGTTCAGAATCAACCACATTGCTGTGGGTCTGGAGTCACATGTAGGCCAGACCAAGTAAGGATAACAGCTTCCTTCCCTAGAGGACATTAGTGAACCAGATGAGTTTTCCTGACAATCAACAATGGGTTCATGGTCATCATTAGATTCTTAATTCCAGATATTTTTATTGAATTCAAATTCCACCATCTGCCATTGCGGGATTTGAACCAGGGTCCCCAGAACATGATGTGGGTCTCTAGATTAACTGTCCAGCGATAATACCACTAGATCATTGCCTCCCCTGGTAAAACACAAGATACAAGATGTTGAGGGCTGCTGCTCTAACACAATGGGATTTCCAATCTCTCGTTGTCAATTTTCTTCTTTTTCTGTGTCATGGATGAGGTTGGTGGGTGAGGGAGAAGAATATGAAGCAGAATGCCAATCAATTTTTTTTATTGCACCAGAGAAGAGAGATCAAGGATAAATTATCTACATTAAAAATCAGAAAATACCTTCTCCCCCTACAAAGAACAATGAATGAAAAATTTCTAGGCATTTAGAGGAGAAGTAGGCCATTCAGCCTGTCAAGGTACAATGCCATTCAGAAAGTCCAAGGCCGATCTAATTGTGGCTGTAACTCCACTTTCCTAACTCTTACTCATATCCTTCAACTCCATTGTTGATCAAACATAGCAATAAATGTGGAGCTGGAAAAGCACAGCAGGTCAGACGGCATCCGAGGAGCAGGAAAGTCAAAGTTTTAGATCGAAATCCTTCATCAGGACTGGGATGGGGGAGGAGTCCAGAAATAAACAGAGAGAAGGGGGTGTGACTGGGTTCAAGGCTGGGTGAGATGGAGATAATTGGATGCAGGTGGGGGGTTATTGTGGTTGGTCAGTGGGAAGGGTAGCGATAGGTGAGTCGGAAGATGTACAGGTTGGGGGAGCAAAGATTTTGAAGCTGGTGAAGTCAATATTCAGGCCATTGGGTTGTAAGCTCCCAAGGCAAAATATCTGGTATCGTTCCTCCAGTTTATGTTTGGCCTCACTCAGACAGTGAGGAGGCCAAGGACAGACATGTCATCAGGAGAGTGGGAGGGGGAGTTAAAGTGGATGAAAACCAGAAGTTCGGGTTAGTTAGTGCGTGCAGTCCCCAGGTCTGCGTACCTCATCTATTTGACCTGCTGTGCTTTTCCAGCTCCACATTTATTGACTCTAGCTTCCAGCATCTGCAGTCCTTACTGTCTTGTAGATCAAACATGTGCCTGACTTGGCCTTAAGTATATTTTTATCTTAACCTCCACTGTCCTCCAGGGAAGAGAATCCTAAAGACTGATGAACCTCAGGAGAAAAGAACTCCTCCTTATCTGCCCTAATGAGAAGTCCTGTTATTGCTTGGCTATGCTCAAGATTTCTCCATAAGTAAACTCCTCCTTCCTGCAGGCATCCTGTCAATCACCCTCAGAAATCTATAAGTTACTCATTGCTCTAAACTCCAACGAGTATGGACCCAACCTGCTCAGGCTCCCCTCAATGGACAATTCTTCATCCCAAGAATCAGTTTGGTGAAGGTTCTGTGAAGTGTTTCCAATGCAAGGTAACTTAAACTGTGCATTGTATTCCAGTTGCAAACTCGCCAATATCCTATAAGTTTTTTGCAATGCTTCCCTACTTGTCTCCGTCACTCTTGTTATAAATACCAATTTTCTTAATTACTTAGTATATCTGCAAGCTAATATTTTGTGATTCATGTACAAAGGCACCTAGATCCACCTGTATTGCAGCATTCTGCAGTCTCTCCCCATGTAAATAATATTCTGTTTATCAACTGTTCCCGTCAAAGTCAACAACTTCACTTTTTCCAATATTATGTGCTACCTACTAAATTTTTGCCACTCACTTAATCTATCTCCCATTGCAGAAGTTTCATCAGTTTCTTAGAATTTACTGTCATACCAAACTTGATGCTGTCAGCAAATGTAGCTACAATACAATTGTCATTTCACGAAATTGATTAATAGAGAGTGCAAATAGTTAAAGCTCCAGCACTGATCCCTGAGGTACTCCCCTTGTTAGAGCTTGCCGATCTGAACATGATCCACTTATCCCAACTCTTTTCCCCGGTTATTTAACCAATATTCTATCTATGTCAATAGATCACAATTATCCCTCTTACCTTATGCAGCAGCCTTTTAATGTGACACCTTATAAAATGCCTTTTGGAAATCAAAATACACAGCATATACAGGTTTCCATTTATCCAACCCAAAAAACTAAATGCTTGTAATAAATTTGTTAAACATGAACTGACTTTCTCAAAACTCTGACACGGCCAGATTACCTAATAATTTTCTAAATGTCCCACTGCAAGTTCATTAATAATAGATACTTATATTTTTCCAGTGAGAGATTTTAGACCAATTGGTGGTAAGCTTCCTGTTTTTTGACTTCCTCCTTTCTGGAATACCATCATGAGCAACATCTTGGACACCTTCCATTAGACAATAATATATCGGAGCAGAACTAGGCCATTTGGCTCATCAACTCTGCTCTGCTATTTGATCATGGCTGATATGTTTTGCAACCCCACTTTCCTGCCTTTTCCCTGTAACACTTGGTCCCCTTACCAATCAAGAACTTATCTATTTCTGTCTTAAATACACTCAATGACTTGGCCTCCACAGCCCTCTGTGGCAATAAGTTCCACAGATTCACCACCCTCTGGCTGAAGAAATTCCTCCTCATCTTAGTACTAAATGGCTGTTCTTTCATTCTGAGACTGTGCCCTTGGGTCCTAGTGTCTCCTATAAGTGGAAACCTCCTCTCCATGTCCACACTACCCAGGCTTCTAAGTATTCTGTAAGTTTTAATCATATCACCCCCACCCCATCCTTCTAAACTCCATTGAATACAGACCCAGAGTCCTCAACCGCTGCTCATGTGATTAGCCCTTCATCCTCAAGATCATTCTTGTAAATCTCCAACATCAACACATCCTTCCTTAGGTATGGAGCCAAAAACAGCTCGCAATGTTCCACATGTGGCCTGACCA